AATCAAAAAATGGGCAGAAGATCTAAATAGACATTTCTCCAAAGAAGACCTACAGATGGCCAAGAAGCACATGAAAAGATGTTCAGCATCACTAATTATTGGTGAAATGCAAATCAAAACTACAATGAGGTATCACCTCACACCAGTCAGAATGGCCATCATCAAAAAAATCTACAAACAATAAATGCTGGAGAGGGTGTGGAGAAAAGGGAACCCTCCTACGCTATTGGTGGGAATGTAAACTGGTGCAGCCACTATGGAGAACAGTATGGAGATTCCTTAAAAAAATAAAAATAGAACTACCATATGACCCAGCAATCCCACTACTGGGCATATACCCTGAGAAAACCGTAATTCAAAAAGACAGATGTACCCCAATGTTCATTGCAGCACTATTTACAATAGCCAGGACATGGAAGCAACCTAAATGTCTATCAACAGAGGAATGGATAAAGAAGATGTGGTACATATATACAATGGAATATTACTCAGCCACAAAAAAGAACAAAATAATGCCATTTGCAGCAAGGTGGATGGACTTAGAGATTGTCATACTGAGTGAAGTAAGTCAGACAGAGAAAGACAAATACCATATGATATTGCTTATATGTGGAATCTAAAGAAATGGTACAAACGAACCTATTTACAAAACAGAAGTTGAGTCACAGACGTAGAAAACAAACTTGTGGTTACCGGCGGGAAAGGGGGGGAGAAGGGATAAATTGGGAAATTGGGATTGACATATACACACTACTATATATAGAATAGATAACTAATGAGAACCTACTGTGTAGCACAGGGAACCCTACTCAATACTCTGTAATGACCTATATGGGAATAGAATCTAAAAAAGAATGGTATAGGTATACGTAGAACTGCTCAGGGGGGCAATCACACCAGTCCTCTTCCCGCACCATTCTCCGCTCCAAGAGGATCCCCCTCGGGATCACGGACATGGCGATGAAAGACAGAACGAATCCCTCATGGCGGTGCTCGAGCTGTCCACCAGGCAGACACCCGCTCAGCCCACATGAGCTCCGTTGTCAATGGATAAAGAGGGTTGACACCAGCTTGGAAGGGCAGCTGGGAGCCTGATGGGGAGGGGTGGAAGGCGGGCAGGAGGAGGGACACAGCAGGTTTGGGCTACAGAGGCAGACCCGTGAGGGCACAGGGACAAGACCGGTGGATAAAGAGCTGGGAGAAGGTGGAAGCACCGTCTGAAAGTCCTCGAATGTCAAGGTGAAGAGTACAGACCTGGTCCAGGGTGCAGCACGGAGCCGGGGTCTGCAAGCAGGCAACTCGGATGGATGGAATGATTGACAAGAAACAACCAACCAACCACATTCAGAGGTGGTGCAGACGGATTCCGGGCATCATCTGTGGTGTCCACAAAGGGAAGAACGAGACCCTAAGCAGGGAGTTGGATGTAGGGAAGGGAAGGAGGGGTGGATCCTGAAGGCTCGAGGGGGATCTGCTAGCACTGGGCGCCTGGATGGGGTTGGGGAGGGGTGGCTTTGGAAGCTGGGCAATCCAGGAAAAGGAGGGTTCCAAGATGATGCTGAGTTTCTCGGCCCTCAGCCAGGACCACTTAGAACTCTTCCAACCCAGATGACGCCTTTCTTACTGTCTCTTTCACACAACACAGCCTTGCAATCTGACAACTCTCCGTGTCCACGTCTATGACCATGTGCAGATAACTTTGCTGCCTTGTCTAGGGCATCACCTGTCTGCCCCCACATGTTTTCACAGACACCTTGCAGGGCAGGAAGATACTTTTCTCACGGGTGGTTGAGGAACATTAGCAACGATGCTGGGAAGGGCTGTGGACCATGTGTTTGTTCAGCACAGGATTTTTGTGGCCAGGCTTCCGGGAAGAGACTCCACGAGCACCATAACCCCAGGGCTTTGTCAATTACACCAGAATGCTCAGACCATCCACCTTACCCAGGACCCTTGCGTCCTGCAACTCATCTTGGTCACTTCCAGGAGCCAGGACAGATGCAAAACCACAAATCAAGGCTCGCTGCTCGTGGTTAGCAGCTCTGGCTTAAAAGCACACACTGGATAGGGGAAGATGACGCTGCAGAAGAGGTCTGCTGATTGTCTTTCAATGACCCACGCTTTGCACAAAATCACGTGAGCCCCAATAACCAAGAAAGGGATAATGAACATGTGGAATCCAGCTGTGAGCCAAGAATGTAACCACGAATCCCCACCTTATGAAGTAGTCCTACCTGGATGTAGGGCATCGCTGGTGTGGTGGAGGGCAGCCCTGCAGGGACACAAGAGGTTCACTGAGTCCCTAGATTCAACCCCGGCTCTACAGCAGAGGCCACTTCCTTGGAAAGACTGCGCTGGGGCCCCACTCAGGTCATCTGTCCTCAGAGTCCCTTTAACTTCTTTCACGAAGCATTGTTTTCTCTTATAATTCGTTATTATGGGTTTAATATTATATTTGATCAATATCCTTCTTTGGTACCAGACTGAAAGCCCCATGCAGTGGGATGGCTTCTGGCTTTTCTCTCCATGGTGCCTAGGACAGAGCCTGGCTGATCACAGGTGCTCCATCAATGTGAGTCAAAAAAAAGCATGACGAGTAAACGAAGAGCCAGTGGGTCCAGGGCTGTGCGGAGGGACAGCCCATCTCAGCAACCGAGGGCTACCCTGGCAACCCTGAGTGCTACCCTGGCAACCATTTTTACAACGAACTTCCAAGAAGTCATTATTAAATGTCCAAGGGGCAGTTGTCTTCATCCTTATGGGTAACTGCATGCCTAAATTGTGGAATAATTAATAATAACTAACAATATTATTTATCTAATATTATAATAATGAATGATACTATTATTCCATAATAACTATGAAATAGCCATAGTAAAGAGTAACAATGTCTATAAAGAAGAGAGAAAGAAGTATAAGGTAACTATATCATCCACTTGGACCATCTAATGAATAAACGAAACAATTTAAGTTCTGCAGAAAAAAAAAAAAAAGACAACACCAAGTTATATAGTTCTAGCCACTTCCACACATTTTCCTCAAGGGCATTTGACTCAGGAGAGAAGCAGATTTGCCCTCAGTGGGTTCAGGCAGCCTCTCACCTCTTGTCTGATGGATTCTTTCACAGGACATGGCCCAGAAATACAAGTTAACTACTTCACCTGTTATTCAACTGAAAAAAAAAAAAAAAAAAAAGATTTTTCCCAGGACTGCAGGAAAAACTGGCTACATTGGACCTAACAGTAGGTAGTATTGGGTCCAACAAATTCCTCAGGAATTTTCAAAGGCAATTTGGACTCTATTCCATTTTCTCCTTTTGCTGGGACTTTAAAATCTAACTACTAGGTGAGATTCAGCCCCACTGCACTTCCTGAGCATAAGGTGGTGATTACGGACGATCCAATATTTAGGCTGATGTAGGCGGTGCCTTGGGAGAAGGGGGGTTTGGGTCCACCCTGCCCACCAGGATGAAATGAATATCTCAGCGTAAGACAGAATCCAGGAACCAAAGAGGAGTCAGGAGCCTGGTCCACGGGAGGCTTGAGGGGCCCCTCTTGTGCCTCCAGTGGTGGATTTTACACAGGTTTGATTCAAATCAAGTAAACGGGCTGCGAACTAAGATGGCTGCGTCCGCAAAGCTTAACTCTTAGGACTGAGAATCGAGACCATCTGTGTCAACACAACTTAAGTATTTCTTCCAGGAAGTTATTGTAAACCAATAAGTAACTCTGCTGTTCGCGGCAGGAAATTCCTACGAAACAATCTGTCCTGGCACGGTTTGCTCACCTGGGAAAACAATCTGCTAATCAATGTTTTACTCGCCAAGATCCCCCGTAAGGCCCTCGTCTTGCTGTATCCACCCATCCTGAACTATGTTACGTCACACACTTTGCTGAAACCCAGTCGATTCTCCGCCTTGAGAAGCACAGCTTAAAGGGTTTGGGCCTGGACCTCTAAACCCTATAAAGATGCCTCCTGACCTTAGACACCAATAGGCCCGTGCCCTGGCGACGCCCTCCTTGACAACAGCTGCTTGAATGAACTTGGCTTTGCTTTACCAACAGCCTCTTCTGATGGGTTTTTTTGAGCCCACAACTGACAGAATAAATCAGGTTTGGCCTCTTGGAAACAGGAAGCATATAAATGCTATGACTAGCCTATGACAGATTTCAAATGCACATTTCACCTCCACTTCCTTCCTCTTTTACATGAGTCTGTATTTTCCAAATTTTCCACAATGAGTTTGCATTATTTTGAGGGTGAGTGAGGGGATGCAAAGCAAACACCATAAGAAGAAAATCAATTCCCAAGTGTACGTTAGAAACGATTGTCAGGTCTTAATTTAACACACACACACACACACACACACACACAGAGTATATAAAATACCCATTGAGCAGCTCATCTCATTAAGCTAGCAAGGTCTCCCATTGACATCAAAAGGCATGGAGAAAAGTGGTCCAGTTTTAATCAGGCTGCCTTGGTTCTCTCAGGCCTCTGGGGTGTTGATAAAATACACCAGCAAAAACATTCAGTCAGTTTAGGGTAAGGCCCAGGGATCTGTGTGTAGTTCTCTTTTTTTAATGAGCACTTAAGTGATTCACAGAATCAAGCCAAGTGTAAAAGCACAGGAGCCTACAACCGACTCAGTGGAATGCCAAGTCCAGCTTCCATCAAAAACTGTCCAGATGAAAAAGGACCAGGTTGGCGGTTGACAAAGAAAGGATGCCTCAACTGTCTCACTCAGGTGGCATCTCCCCACGCCTGGGTCCTGGGCCTGTCTGGAAGCACACTGACTCACAAAAGCCCCGACCTCCTGTAAAATCTGGGAATAGCTCACAGCTGGGCTCAGGCAGGGTCTCTCCCCCACCAACACCCCAGCCAGAGCTGGCTCAGAGAGCAGGCTTCCCCCACCGTTGTCTGCAGCCCTGCAGCTCTCCGTGCAGCCAGCACAGGGAGTGAGATGCCCGTTAGCAGCCCCAGTCAAGGCCTCCTTTTACCTTAAAGAAACTTCCTCGCTTCTCCGGACTGCGGGCGCCCATGGTCCAAGCTGACATTTCCCGCGGCGAGGCTCTACTGCACGCCTGGGACTCCTGAAGGTAGAGACATTTGTAATGGTTAGTCCAGCCTGTAGGAAATTCCTTTCTAAGCCACAGAACATTCACAACAACAGTCCTGCCAAGATCTTTTTCCATCAACAACAGAGTGCCATTTTATCTCCCACCAAAGCCCTTCCATCTCCTTTCAGGCTGATTTCCTGCTACAGACAGCACAGCTCCTAGACTCAGCCCCACCTCGCTGCCCGCTGCCCCCCCTCCCCCCACCCGCTCCTCCAGCTGACGCCGAAGCCCCCTGGGACTGCGGAAAGCATAATGATTGCTCTGTGTGTTTGCTTGACCTCACGCTCGGGTCCTAAAGGGACTGGGTTAGACGCCACTGTGATCTGCTCTAAAGCTCATGGACTTAATGCGGTTGATCACACGAGGCCAGCGGGAGAGTGAGGGCCCGCGTGTCCCAGGAAATCCTGCAGGAATGGGATGAGGTCATTATGAGCTGGGCTGGCCCTCTCCCTCCGGCAAGGTCAACACAAGGGCACTGGGAATAAATCCCTCTATTTTCTCCAAAGAAATCAAAGACTGGGATGAAATCCTGTGCCCCTGTTTTCAGAGATCAGTTTGTGTAAGAAACAGCTCCAGGATAACCGGGGAAGAGGGGAGTGGACTTTGGAACGCGGAGAGGAATTTAAGGGCATGATATGATTCTGAATCACAACTGTGGCTATTTGAGCTTGGAATTTCCCTCACTGGAGCATCAAAACCCAATAATCTTCCCTCCTGGTTGCAACGCCTTCCATGTCCACTTGTAAATAAAACACACACCCCCACACAGCTGGCCCCACCCCGGCCAGCATGCATGGAGAGGATACCTGGGGGAGCATCCCCAAACCATCTCCTGGACCAGCAGCAATTATGAAACCATCTCCTGCTCACATAACTTGCACAAGATGTGGCTGGTCCTAACCACAACCAGCCTGGTGGAAGGACGATAAAGGAAACATTAAATGAAAACATGTCTGGGGATCTTAAAAGGGGTTCAGCTGCAGGGGCAGAGCGGGAAGGCACCAAAGCCACAGTAGCCACTGCCAGTTTGCTGAGGCTCTTTCATTATTAGCTGGGGAACAGAGAGGCAGCTGCACTCAAGGGCATTTCAACAAGTGGAAAAGCATAATGACTTTGCAGAGAACTGCATACGTTAGGAAGCAAGGATCTTTGGAGACAGGCACATTTCTGCCCCAAGATCGGCCCCTCCCTTCGCATCCGCGGTGGGCTGTGATGACCCGTGAAATTCCATCTCGGAAAATGAGAACGCAGCGCACACCCACCCCTCCTCTGGGGCCGTCACCTATGTTAGTCGTTTCTCCGTGGTTCGGTCCCCTTAAAGGTTCAGAGGTATCTTCCCTGTGATTCTTCTCACTTGGAATCCCATTGGGATGAAGGTCAACCTTCCAAAAGCCTCCTGAGATGACTGGTGAGCTTTCTATTGCGATTCTGCTGACTCTGAGATTCACATTCTTGGGTTCAGCCGCTGAATGCAGCCCCAGCTCCAAGCCCTTTGAAGTTCATCATTTATCAGCGAAGTCCACGGATTGGAGTGACTCCAGAAGGAAAATAGGGTGCTGTCTTCAGAACAAGAAGCAGAACCACAACCACACTGTAACCTTGGGGAACAAATGATTAACTGTTTCAACCCAGAAGCACACAAAGAAAAAAGTACACTTCTTGAAACCAAGCCTAATGCCTGTAATTCTTTTTCTTCCAGACGCTTTCTCTGCAAGGAATCTGGCATGGCATAGCAGTGAAGGAACAGCTTGGGGAGTGCCAAGCCGTTCATTCCTCATCCAGACCTAAGTCCCTTTGTTTTGTTCAGAAATTTTCCGAGTACAAACCCTTTCTGATGATCCAGGACAGGGAGGGAATTTTGCCCATAACAATGGAGCAGTCTGGATTCCGCACGTTTACTATGTTAATTAGCTGCCTGAAAACTGCACACGAACACTTCCACCTCAAGTGGTCCTCAAGGAAACACCCAGTTTGGATTCTGTGCGAGACCAGCAGATCCATCACATTTCTTCCAGAGGATGCAGGTTGTATCCCCGCTTCTTCAGAAGGCTGCTCCAGGATAGAGATGAGAGCAGGTGACAAAGACAGGCGGCCAGGGGCCCCGGCAGGCCCTTCCCACAGAATGAAATCCAAGTGGACAGAACATCACACATTGTTCTAATTCTTAAAAATAAAGCTCTTAAGGGCCCCAAAGAAGTTTGGGTTTCAGGTCTTTCCTGTCGTAGCAATAGTCCTTCCCAAAGCATAGCCTCTGACACCCCAACTCAGCTCAGACAGACATTTAATACAATTTATAAGGAGACATTCTTTCCACTTGTGGTTCCTACCCTTCCCCCCAAAGGGTTAGGTTACACCGGTAGTTTCATCCGAAAACCACCCCCAGTAACAGACTAGACCAAGAAACAGAAAAGGTACCGTAGTTGGAGAGGCTGTAAAATTCCTCCAGACTTATACAGTGGAAGCTTGCTTCTTGCTTGGTTTCCCTGAACGGCGGAGCGGATTCTCGAAAAAGGAGCCTAGCACATCCAGTGGATCTTTCCAGATGCTAGCTGAAAGCTAGCAAAAAAAAAAAAAAAAGGAGAGAGAGAGAAAAAAAAGCCCTAATGGGACTAAAGGACACTGCAAGCACTTTGGAGCTGCCAAGCCTTTTCAATAACAGCACTGAAGGAATGTAAACGAAGCTGGTCGCTGTGGTCCGGCTAAAAGACAAAGGCAGGAAGTGAATATTCCTGACTCTCCCCCAACACCAGGCTCCCGTCACTTTGGAGGGAGGCTCGCAGTGGCTTCCATGTGGCCCCAAGAGCGAGTGCTGAGGTGAAGTCTGTCCTGAGATTTCAGCATCCAGGACTCACTGAGTCGTCCGGCTGGGCGCCAGGCTGCATGGACTGCCGCTAAGCAGGATGGCTCCCGGCCGGCTTTCCAGCCCATTCCGCTGGGAGCGCTGGGGCACCGCCACCTGGCCCTGGGCTGTGGGCTGGCCGACGGGGCTGGGACACCCAGAGCCTGGTTTTCAGTTCACTGAGCCACGGAGCTAAGTCACTGGCAAAATTCCAGCTGTTGCTCGAAATTCCAGCTTGCCAAATCTGGGCAAGATAGGTTTACATCTGAGATGGACCTCGTCCTCCCCCTGTCCACCCGGATTTATTTAGTCAGCCCATACCCTTCCCATTCCATTCGCCTCAGGTCACAAGTGCAAAGCCACAAAGCAGCAGCAGTAACACTGACACTGGCAACCACGACCCCCAAGTCTGATTTAAAAGAGACTCGTCTTGTTCAGGTCACGGGGATTCTCATCACCTGCTGCTGTGAAAGTCGGCCACAGAAGCTTGCTAATCACTCCGTTCTCCCTTCTTCTTTCTAGCAGTTGAATAAAGCGAGGCAAAGCGGACTTCACTTCTTGGTAAACAAGAGCTCATAATCATTTTACAGCCAAACTGACTGAAGTAAAAGAAAGTGACTCACCCCTGGGGACCTGTCAGGTCGAGGCCAGTCCTGAGACAGGCAGGTCACCTTTTTGCCTGGTTCCTTGAGTGGCTCCGAGGACGGCAGGTCCTCCCTCTTTTGAATACTTTTCGTCTTTACTGAGAGGTAAAAGCCAGTGGGGCGGTTCTGTGTCTGGATCCAGGCAAGGTCTCTGAATATTTCCATAATTATCTTTGTATGATCACGGATTTTACAAGTGGAATAGAAAATCTCTATTCCAGCCTCTGCCTTGACAATTCAAGTTATGTAAATTTAAAATTTGTTCTTTGAGCATCTTGTATCACTGCCCAGCACCGATTATCTCTCAATCGTTAAACTTTTTTTTGTTTTTTTTGTGGTACGTGGGCCTCTCACTGTTGTGGCCTCTCCCGTTGCAGAGCACAGGCTCTGGACGCGCAGGCGCCGGACGTGTAGGCTCAGTGGCCATGGCTCACGGGCCCAGCCGCTCTGCGGCATGTGGGATCTTCCCGGACCGGGGCACGAACCCGTGTCCCCTGCATCGGCAGGCGCACTCTCAACCACTGCGCCACCAGGGAAGCCCTTGATAACTGCTTTTAAATAGAACTAGGAACAATGCTCTTTGTCTTGACCTTCACAAGAGTAAGCAAGGATAATAAAATAATTTTTCTTCTTTTTTTAGGAAGGTGCTCACAGGTGAGACTGTGCATTTCTGCCACTCACAGGATTGGCCTGTAACAAATTCCAGGGGAGGTCCATCCCTTTCGTCCTTGGAAAACAGATGTCTCACAGAGACGCTGCAGAAACTCTGCCACTGCCCAGGAAGCCCAGGTGTGGATATCTCCACCAAAGGCAATGAACGTGCCCTGGACATAGGTGGGCAGCTCTGCTGTTGGAAGTTCCCCCTTCCCTCGGATGGGAAACTGCCTCTCTTACCTCCCACCCGATGCCCTCAGTTTACCCCTCCGGCCATCCAAGAGTTAGCCTCCCGCCTCCTTCTCCTTGCCCCTTGTCCCTGCAGGGCGACAGCTTCTCAGGCCTCAGGGCTGCTGCACTCTGCCCGCCTGGAACAGGGCTGAGAAGGGAGGGGGGTGACCCCCCACAAGGTCATTCTCAGAAGTATGTGGGTTTTTTTTGTTTGTTTGTTTGTTTGTTTGCGGTACGCGGGCCTCTCACTGTTGTGGCCTCTCCCGTTGCGGAGCACAGGCTCTGCAGCCTCCACGGCATGTGGGATCTTCCCAGACCAGGGCACGAACCCGTGTCCCCTGCATCAGCAGGCGGACTCTCAACCACTGCGCCACCAGGGAAGCCCAGAAGTATGTGTCTTTTAACCTCCTCACTTGAAAAGCGCCACGTAGTCAGTGGTCACACCCGGCACTCATGCGCAGAGACCACACGTACAATGAAGCCCCATAAGCCACATTGGCCCTGAACCCGAAGGACACCACGGAGGGAAGCCACACCCTCCAGGGCTCCCCCAGATTTACTGTCAACACGTGAGCACCTGAGTTTATAGCTTTGCTTCCCAAAGTTCTCTGGCCACGATGGTAAAAGGGTCTACATTGGTGGTTAATTTTAACTGGAGGTTATAACCTGGCGGCTCTTGGATGGAGTCTACACTGCAGATACAACAGACGAAGCAACACACTTTTTAACAATTTGAATGAACAGTCTCCAGAGACCCCGAGTCAAAAATTCATGTCCCAGTCATTTATGAGAGGTGACTTCAGGACACGCTGGTCGGGCAGAGGGGATGTGACACAGGGGAGGAAGGGCAGCAGTACAAAGGGCATCACCAAGCAAGCAATCAGCGTGGGTGACTGGGTTGGGAACTCTGAGAGCCAGTGTAGACCATGGCTCAGGTGGTCCCACCTGAGGGGTATTTTTCTGACTCCCCCCAGGGGGTCTTGGGTCACCAGCACCTCCAACATATGCCTGGTGCCGGCAAAGTGGGATCTTGGGGCGAAGAGAGCCCTTGGGCAAAGCTGGCAGTTGGAAATCAGGGCACCATGCGTGGAAATGCCAAACACCCAAGGGATACGGGAAGGTCTTGACAGTGTCTGCTACACCCGGCGGCTCAAAAATATCAGGACATTTTGCCTAAAATGTGGGTGTCTAGCTTCTCTGTCACAGTGAGCTGTCATCCCAGAATGGCCATGGCTGGCTGGCTTGGAGGGTTCTCTCTGGCTGGGATGTGAGCTCCTCCAGTTCAACAGTGCCCACAGGTTTGCTCTCTGTACCCAGACACCCTGCCTGACCTACCACACCCCTCGTAAAGCACCTGCCACGCCCAGCTCCTGCCTGATGTGCAGAGGGCGGTGATTCTGCCCATTCGGTTCTCTCAGCTGACTGGATGACCTAGTGATGTCATATGACCCAGGCTAGTAATTCACTGGCTGTTCTCAGATGAGGGAGAACCTTCTGAGCTGAGAGTCACAGGTTACGTGCTTACCCATGAAACCTGGATTGTGAGCCACATGCCAGCTTAATTAAATGAGGAGCAGATACCCTGAGTGAGCAGATATGAGAAGCCTTTGGACCACGGGGGTGGGGGGGATGGGGGAGGGGAGAGTCTTGAATCTCAGCCTCAGGCTGATGGCTTTGTACTTCCCACCAGGCCTGGCAGTGCCAGGGTCCAGGGCATCTTGTATCCTGACAATAAGGGTCCCCTATTCTTGAGCACGTGGATAGATGTATATTCCCTTCCATCAGATATGCTTTGACCAGAAGAGCTTCAGGAAGATGGCCATGAGTTCTCCAAAGCACGTAGAACTTCAAGCTGTTTATCATCATCTTATCAAATGTTTACTTCAAAGATCTCGGGGGGCCTCCTGCACTGTTGGTGGGAATGTAAATTGGTGTAGCCGCTGTGGAGAACAGTATGGAAGCTCCTTAAAAAACTAAAAATACAGTTACCATATGATCCAGCAATCCCATGCCTGGGCACATATCCAGAAAAGATGAAAATTCCAATTCGAAAAGACACATGCACCCCTATGCTCATAAGCACTATTTACAATAGCCAAGACATGGAAGCAACCTAAACTTCCATTGACAGATGAATGCATAAGGACACACATACACACACACACACACACACACACACACACACACACAATGGAATACTACTCAGCCATAAAAAAGAATGAAATGATGCCATTTGCAGCAACATGGATGGACCTGGAGATTATCATACCAAGTGAAGTAAGCCTGATAAAGACAAGATATCACATGATATAACTTATATGTGGAATCTAAAATATGACGCAATGAACTTATTTACAAAACAAATAGACTCACAGACATAGAAAACAAACTTATGGTTACCAAAGGAGGGGGGGAGGGATAAATTAATCCACAAATTATCTGTGGATTAACAGATATACATTACTATATATAAAAGATAACCAACAAGGACTGGCTGTACAGCACAGACAGCTATATTCAATATCTTGTAATAACCTAAAATGGAAAAGAATCTGAAGAAGAACATATACATGTATATGTATAACTGAATCACTTTGCTGTGCACCTAAAACTAACACAACATTGTAAATCAACTATGCTTCAATTAAAAAAGCAAAGATCTTGGAATAAAGCACACACTGATAAAGGAAAAGCTCCATTAAACCAGAACAGAACTTGCAGATGTCTCCACTGGTGGGGGTTTCCTAAGTGAGTATGAGAGAGGGAGGCCTTTGGACCATCCGAGGGAAGATGCTTCAGTTGTGGGGTGAGGAGGACGGGCAAAAGACACATTTCCCCGTCTTCTATCACGATCCCAAAGGTGTGTGTGGGCTCTGCTGCCTGGGTGGACCTCTTCTCTTTGAAAAAAAATTAAGTTTCTGGGACTTCCCCGGCAGTTCAGTGGTTAGGACTCCGTGCTTCCACTGCAGGGGGCACGGGCTCCATCCCTGGTCAGGGAACTAAGATCCGGCAAGCTGCGCGGTGAGGTCAAAGAAAAAAAAAATTTAAGTTTCTGACTTAAAAGAAATGGAATTGAGTCGGCTTTTCTGATAAGAGCTGTGGACTGTTGTAAAGATGTTTTTACCTTATTTTAATCTGGTCTCTGTGTCTTCAAGGAAGTTTTAACTCAGTGGTTAATAAGCACAAAT